GTTAATCTCTCAATCTCTAGCCCTTACCCCCAAAAGGCTGGCAAAGCATTCGTAACTCTTCCATTGGTTAGAGTGCTGGCGACGCTGATTGCTTACCATCAGGTAATCAGTCTGCTCGTTTGCCGTCCTATCATGAAAAAAAAAGATTGTCGAACGAGCAGACGGATTACCTTGAGATGCTGAGAGAAGATGCTTTGCCAGCCTTTTGGGGGTAAGGGCTAGAGATTGAGAGATTAACGTCACTCTTCACCTCGCGAAACACAACGCTGTGGTTGTTTCAAGCCGGTTTTCTGTGAGGCCGTGGTATCACTCCGGTCGAGCCGACCCATTCGTGCCGAAGCAAGGCTCTCCCACACTTGTATGTCTGTTTATTGTTAAGATATCGTTTCTCGACCACCCTCTATATAAAGTTATACGTTATTGAAACACCCTGTAACCGCACGTTTGGCCTTAACAATAAATAGGCTACGCTTTTGTCCTTTTGTATCATTTTTCCTCTTAATTTTTTTTCTTTCATAATAAAATATATTGCGAAGGGTTTCCTCTTTCCTGAGCGGCCATTTTTATATTGAGCCATACATATTATACTTTACGGTTCCGTCTAGAGGTAGCGTTAAGGTTACCAAAAAGGTTGGATGCTTTTTTATTTATAAGTTGTCCGTTTAAATCGCGTTTAGCGTGAATGGGTTTCGTTTTTTTTTTTTGGAACAGACAGACACTGAATATAATACGATTTTGTTCCGTGAAGTTAAAGACGGTCTTTTTGTAATTAATGATCTGTTTTTTTTTGTTATAAGTATCACATTTATCTGGCCAAACCCGAAGCAATCATATTAAAAACAAAAAACTAAAAATCATGGTTTTTATATGATATAAGTGTGGGAGAGCCAAGCTTCGGCACGAATGGGTCGGCTCGACTGGAGTGATACCACGGCCTCACAGAATACCGGCGTGAAACAACCCAGCGTTCTGTGTTGGTGTGTTACCGGAGACCCAATCCCTCCTCTTCCCCTATCCCTTCCCGATCCTTTTTATCCGCAACCCCTATCCCCAAAAGGCCGGCACCGCACTCGTAACTCATTTGGTGTTGCGGGTGTCCATGGGCGGCGCCGATTGCTTACCATCAGGTAACCCGTCTGCTCGTTTGCCGACCTATTACATAAAAAAAATGTAACCTATCTATAACATTTTACTTATAATATTATTGTATGTATGCTTACAAACTTTCGCGTTAAGTAGGATTAACTCCTCAAGGACAAAGGTCGAGTTGTTATGGTATGTTAAAATGAGTAATTAGCAACGTGTTTAGTAATTGGAGGCGTGAGGACGTCGGAGGGTTGAACAGTGTGAGAGGGAGTTGGCCCTCAGTTAGCGGCCAGAATGAGGGTCTTTGTTTACCCTCTTGTGGGTTGAGTGCCATCAATTAGCACTCCCTACTAATTGAGGTGTTCAATTGGGCTATTTATTTATGACTTATATTTATTTTTTATTCGATTTCTGTAAGGTTTTTTTTTTCTCGAGAATTCTTGCTAATTTTCTACTAATGTGGTGGCTGGCGTATCGTCAAGTTCTGCTTGAACGGAAAGTTAACATACCTAATTTATTGAAAACTAGCTTCCGCCCGCGGCTTCGCTCGCGTGGTATGTTGATAAAAAGTAGACTATGTCCCATTCCGGAGTGTATCCTATGCCTATGTCAAATTTCATCCAGATCCGTCGCAGTTTTGGCGTGATTGAGTTACAAACATCCAAACATCGTAACTTTCGTAAAATCGTAATTTATAATATTAGTAAGAAGTAAGAAAGCTACTTACTCACGACATAAAAAGACTTACAGAAGGAACGGGGTGATTTTTTTTTTTTCATTCAGTAAGAGTCTGACACTTCTTCCCACCCAACCTAAAGTGGAAAAAGACGGAAGAAGATATTCCTTTCTCAAAAAAAAAACAACATATTCATAAGTCTTTTAAAAAAATGTTTTTTTTTGTGTGATAGGTCGGCAAACGAGCAAACGGATTACCTGATGGTAAGCAATCAGCGTCGCCCATGGACACCCGCAACGATGGAGGAGTTACGAAAGCGAGGGCTTTGGAGATTTTGGGAACGGATTGGGGTAGGGGATGGATTGGGCCTTCGGTAACCTTACTCACACGGCGAAACACAACGCTGTGGTGGCTTCACGTCAGTATTCTGTGAGGCCGTGGTATCACTCCGTCGAGCCGACCAATTCGTGCCGAAGCTTGGCTCTCCCACACTTAAAGTGGAAAGTGGAAAAAGACATTGATGATTATTCCTTTCTCAAAAAAAAACCTATTCTAAAGTCCTTTTTACAAAATGTTACATCGTAATCACTCAATTTTGAAAGTCGGAAAAGTTTACCAGCATGAGCTCGACACCTCGTCAAGTTTTCGGTTTTTGCGGGTTGGAAATTCGAGTTTGTTGAAGCAATTACGTATGTTCAAGTTTTAAGCCGACAATTTGTTGACACTCAAGTACAGAGTTTGCGGTCATTTGAAGGTTAAAAGCTTACATCTATAAATATATAAAAGAAAGTCGTGTTAGTTACTCCACTTATAACTCAAGAACGGCTGAACCGATTTAGCTGAAAATTGGCAGGGAGGTAGTTCAGAGCCAGGAGAAGGACATAGGATAGGATAGAGTAGATAATATAGGTTAGGTAGAGTAGGGTAGGTAAGGTTGGTAGAGTAGGGTAGGTAGAGTATGGTAGGTAGGGTAGGTAGAGTAGGGTAGGTAGAGTAAGCGAGGTAGAGTAGGGTAGGTAGAGTAGGGTAGGTAGAGTAAGGTAGGTAGAGAAGGGTAGGTAGGGTAGGTAGGGTAGGTAGAGAAGGGTAGGTAGGGTAGGTAGGGTAGGTAGGGTAGGTAGAGTAGGGTAGATAGAGTAAGGTAGGTAGAGAAGGGTAGGTAGGGTAGGTAGGGTAGGTAGAGTAGGGTTGGTACGCCGCGGGTAAGAGCTAGTATGTAGATAAATAATTAAGTTTTCAAATGCTTGTATGTACTTATGTTAAATCTCACAATTAATAAATATGATGATGAATTTCTATCTATATAAATTAATAATAGCTTTTGCCCCGAGACTCTGTTCGCGTGGAATAGTGACTTCTTGCATATTTTTGGTATAAAAACTATCCTATGTCCTTTCTCGAGTTCCTAACTATGTCTGTACCAAATTTCACAGAAATCGGTTCAATAGTTTGGGCGTAAAGAAAAGACTGACAGAGTGACTTTCGCATTTCAGTATAGAAGTATAGATTATAAAGAGGTACAATTTTGAAGTTTGTATGTTGACGGTGAAAACTGGAACAGCTGATCTGATTTTTAAAATTGTTTCACTGATAGATACCTACAATTTTTCTGGGTGCTATAATTATATACTCGACTATCCTATGCCAGCTACTCTCGAGCGGTTTCACCCGGTACTCGGCTCCATTTAATCGTAGCGTGATGTTTGATAGCCTATATAATAGCACTCAGAAACATTGTAGCTATCTATCAGTGAAAGAATTTGAGCAATCCGACCAGCGGTTCCAAAGATTACCCCCTACATACAAACTTACAAATTTTATCTCTTTATAATATTAGTATAAATTTGAGGACCTATCGCTTTGAACACTACTGTTCTTAAAATTCTGGGATACATTAAATTGATGCAAGTGCGAGGCCGCGGACTTAAGCTATTGCCCACCTGAGGCTTCGCCCGCATGGTATGTTAATAAAAAGCAGCCTATGTGTGAATCCAGGTTATCACCTATCTAATAATCACCTATCAAATCGATCCAGTCTCCATAGCTGGATCAATTTGGTAAGTAAGTAAAAACTAACTTTAAGGCTTAAGTAACCGGCTCCTTAACCTCCGTACCGCCACGACAATCACAATAATCAACCCTTAACAACATAAATTATTCGTTTTCCTAAGAAAGTTAAGTTAAGAAAGATTAATTAGTATTTTCTTATAGTTTTCCTTTCATAGTTTATGATGGATCGACATAACAACTAAAACTATGTCGGGAAACGCAATCAGTCATACAACTAGTTTCTGTTGGGCTTTGCTCGCGTTACTGGGCTTAAACAGGGCCGACCCGTTCATATGGCGAACGGAGCAGTTACTTCAGGCGCCAAATACTAGAGGGCGCTTAAACTAAATTTGAACCGCCATCCTATGTCCGGGCGTATGTAATTTTAGAAAAAATCGATATAACTAGGTACTTTTATTTTTATTATTCTAGTCTACCGTAGACGGTATTGCCCTGAGATTTTCAGTCGGTCACTTCAGATTATATTTTATCTTGTAGTTTGTTATTGTTAAGTTGTTAACAGTTGTTAATAAAATTAAAAGACTTGGATCTAGTATGTACTTGACTTTAATATCACAGTACACAGTCGGGCAGCTCACTGCACCAGAGTTACATTGTCAATGGCCGACACTCTCTCGGCCACTAGTACAGGATGACGTTGATATTGACAGTTCTAGTGTTACAATAATTAGAGATGATACAACCTCAAATAAATAAATAAATCCTTCATATTTATATTAATTTGTAGGATGGCAGCCACCACGTCAAAGTGTTATAATTTGTACACTGTCTAAGGCGTTTTACACTTGATAAAACATTTTTTATCGTGAGCAAGGGCATGTCCTAATGCTGCAGCTATCTTTAACAGAAAAGCAGTTACTTCTAAATGATTTTTCTTTGCCTCACCAGGGGCCCTCCACTCGCCCGGCATGGAGATCATAACTAACCCCTCCACAGGAAGAAATGAGATGACTTGTTTACATTAATAATTAATCTTTTCTTATTTTCTTTTGTTACAGATAACAAAACAACACGCAAAAATGTCAAAACACCAAAAGTTGTCACAATCACACCGAGAGATGGCGTTATTACCAACATCATGAAACTACGCTAGATGTCGCCACGAACATTGTTATGTGAAGTGTTAGAGTGAGATATAAAATATTATTTTGTTATAAGTGCGAGTGAGATGCGAGACGGGTCTAAACCAAAGCCTAGTGGCTCCGCGACTGCCCAGGGTTTTGATGATGAAGGTAAGTCAAACTTTATTTAATATCAAAGTCAACATCAAACACCTATTTCAATGAACCTTTTAATTACTATACATAACTTTAGAACGTCAAAAAATTATCTGTCGTTAGCTAGTCTATTGTTATCTAACTTAACTTTGGGAAAATTATCTTCAAATTGTTTTAAGTCTACTATTACTTCAAAAAACTTTCCGCATGTCAAAAGTCTATTAAAATTTTGTACAGAAACATTTTTTCTTTCACCATATGACAGTGATATCTAAATAAACTTAGAAAGCCAATATACTGTAAGAAGCCGCCTTGGTACAACCTGCACACTCATTTATTAAGGACTAGCGATCCGCTCCGGCTTTGCATACTCTCCACTATTTAATGGATGTTATTATACATATAAACCTTCCTCTTCAATGATTCTATTTAATAAAAATCCGTTATTTATGTGATAGGATGGCAAACGACCAAACGTATTACCTGATGGTAAGCAGGCAGCCTCCCTTCCCCCAATCCCAAAATCGAAGTCTCCAAATCTCTAAGTCACAAAAGTTGTTGTTGCGGGTGTCTATCGGCGGCACTGATTGCTTACCATCAGGTAATCTGTTTGCTCGTTTCTCGACCGATCACATAAAATACATAACTTTCAAAAAAAACTAATTAAGGATCTTACTCTTTGTCTAGAAAAGGCCATAATCTAAAAAATAAAGCCCCCAATTATTAGAATCTACTTGCGAAGGCTCCGATTTCCGGGCCAACAGTTCCTGAATATTTATTACAGCTACGTGCTAAAATAATTCTGGTTGCTCGCTTTCAGGTGTAGGTTACACTGAAAGCTTAATATTTTCCCCTATTTTCATGACTAGACATTGTTTTTTTTTTAAATTTTATTTTATACTTTATCCGCCCGCGGTTGGCACGCGTATAAATGGTTTATAGCCTATATCTATAAGGAACATTGTAGCTTTTCTTTTCTTTCAGTGAAAGAATATTGGAAATCCGACCAGTGGTTCCAAAGATTGTCCCCTACATACAAACTTACAAACTTATAAATTTTATTTATTTATTTATTTTATTTCATACTTCTTGCACAACGTACAATGGCGGACTTAACGCCTTAGGCGTTCTCTGCCAGTCTACCTTTGGGTGGTGGAGAAATAGCAGTGGTAGGTGCATCTTCTTGATGAAAATAAGGAAAAAAAACACATGCTACAAAATTATTGCTCATACATATACATAATATCAATTAATATAAATATATGTATACCTATACATTATATAAATACATTTTACTTCTTTATAATGTTTGTATATATACAAACTTTCGCGCTTAAATAATACAGTATCATTTTCAACTATTAATAAGGATTCTGTTTAGCCGATACACAACAATACGCTAGCTTATATTAAGTTACGAATACTCCTTATTAAACAATACTAGCTTTTGCCCGCGACTCCGTACGCGTGGAATAGTGACTGCAGATTTTTGGTATAAAAACTATCCTATGTCCTTTCTCGAGTTCCAAACTATGTCTGTACCAAATTTCATAGAAATCGGTTCAGTAGTTTAGGCGTGAGGAAAAGACAGACAGAGTTACTTTCGCATTTATAATATTAGTTTGGATTCTGTATGGGCTCAAATAGTGAGTATCTCCCTAGTTGGAATCTAATGATTTATTCCATGTATGCACTTTCTAAATAATTCCAATGAGTCTGATCTCATTAGACCAAATGTATTTAAGAACCATACTTCGAGACACGAATAGGCCAACTCAACAGTGGTAATACCACGGCCTCGCAGAAATCCGGCGTGTAACAACGCACAGCGTTATGGTTCGCTATTTAAGTGACTGCTGGATATCGGAGACCCAATCCGTCTCCTCTCCCATCCCGCCAATCTATAAAACTCCAAACCCACTTATCCCATCAAGACCGGCAACGTTCTTAAAACTCCTCTAGAGTTGTGGGTGACCATTGGTGACGCCGATTGCTTACCATCAGGTAACGAGTCTGCTTCTTTGTCTAAAATACTGATGAGTTCAAGTCCTAGTATAACCTAAAACCAGTATAACATGTCAATGTTGTTTTTTAAACTATATGTTTCACCATACGAATCTACAAGAAAAAAGAAAGAAAATAAACTTATTTTGCCACAATACAGGGCACACGAAAATCACAATCATGAAGTAAAAAATAAAAAATAGAATGAAATTAAACAAAAAAGTACTTAAAATAACTGAAAACCATTAATAAAATACAAAATTGAAAATACTGTTATTGTGTGCCTGTTGCACAGCTGCGCCAAACAAAGGTTCAGTTCAGCATGTATGCCACACAATTACTAGTGCCTGTCGCTGGTTTTGAACTGAACCTGAGGTTGCGACGTGACGGTCGCAAAGAACAGTTTCAACATCTACATTTTTAGACCCGAGCATACGGAACGTAGCGTTCCGCGCGCGCTTCAAAGAGCCAATAGACCACCAGAGACGGGGCCCTAAAGGGCTGACGTTCAGCCGGGGTTGCGGGGTAAGCGCAATAAGGCACCGCAACCTCGGCCCAGAGCAGGAGAAGGAATAGGGGCGTTTTTAGACAGTAAGAGTCTGACACTCCCTCCCGCCCGAACCAGGGCGGGAGAAGTCATTTGATGATTTTCCCCTCACAAAACGAAACATCTACATTTTTAGGAACGAGCTTCACTGAGGAACAGATTGACACATAATTATAATAGGGTTTTACCTATGAAATTGCCGAAAAAATTAAAACGAATTTTTTGATTTGAAATACGATGAAAATGTAACACTAATCAATAAGCAAATGACTACTTTTGGAAAAGGAATCCCATGTTTTTAAAACTAAATTAATTAGCCTTAGCCTAACAAAAACTATTTTGATTATATTGAAATGGCCAGTACTGCAGAACGGCAATTTCATAGGCAAAGACCTATTATTCTTTGTCGTTTTAATAATTCATCTTCATAAGTTGAAATAAATATTATATCTCTCGAAATTACACCACGTTATCTTAAATTGATAATTACTTCATTCAACCCGACAAAGTCACTTAAACATAGCGTTTAAACCTAAAAACACATTATACCAATTCAAAACCAAGGAACACCGTTCGGAAATTTCGTTTCAAGTTTCCTGAAGTATGTTCCCACCTTTCCTCGGCTCCTTTTGACCCACAAATACTTTAGGAGCATCGATCGAGGCCCAAAGCGTCGCTGAAAACAGCTCCAACATTCAAAACTTTCTAACTTCACGATTGAATTCGAAAACAATGTCTTTTCAAAGTGTTTCTTTTTAACTACGTGGGCCGAGTCTTGTGTTAATGTAGTTTTTTGTTTTTGATTTTTGAATGGAGTCCATGATAATGACGATAGGGTATGAAAATTAAAAATCTATTTAGTCTATCAGGTGGATAGTTGAATAAACAATAGATAAGTATTTTGTAAATTTTGTTGTGTGTTAAGGGTCCCATTTTTCATGCATAAAAGTCCGTAATTTGGCAAGTACTAATGTGACTTTTTCTACGTTATATGTACTTTCTAACTAACTATATTTAGACACTGATAAACGTTAAACAAAATCATCGTGAGGAAACCTGCTCTTATCACTATATAAGTGTGGGAGAGCCATGTTTCGACACGAATGGGTCGGCTCGACCGGAGTGATACCACGGCCTCACAGAAAACCGGCGTAAAACAACCACAGCGATGTGTTTCGCCGTGTGAGTGAAGTTGCTGGAGGCCCAATCCTTCCCCTCCCCAATCCCTAAATCTCCGAAATCCCTAATCCCCAAAAGGTCGACCACGCACTTGTAACTCCTCTGTTATTACGGGTGTCCATGGGCGGCGCTGATTGCTTACCATCAGGTAATCCGTCTGCTCGTTTGCCGACTAATCACATAAAAAAAAACAAAGTCGCTTTCTCTGTCCCTATATCCCTATGTATGCTTAAATCTTTAAAACTACGCAACAGATTTTGATGCGGTTTTTTATAGATAGAGTGATTGAAGAGGAAGGTTTATATGTATGACAACATCCATTAAATAGTGACTGAAATTAAAATAGAACCTGACGTTATGTGGTTGTTTCACGTCGAATTTAGATTGACGTGAAACAATCACAGCGTTGTGTTTCGCTGTGAGGTTACCGGAGGCCCAATTCCTCTCCCTCCCTCCCTCCATCCCTTCCCAACCCTTAAATATCTGAAAGGCCCTAAAAGGCCGGCAACGCACTCGTAACTCCTTTGGTGTTGCGGATGTCCATGGGCGGCGCTGATTGCTTACCATCAGGTAAACCGCCTGCTCGTTTGTCGACCTATTACATAAAAAAGGGGAATTTGGTACGGGTCGCTAATTATTTCCAATAGAAAGTTTTTTTTTGGGAGGGGAAAATCATCAAATGACTTCTCCCGCCCAGGGCGGGGCGGGAGGGAGTGTCAGTCTCTTACTGACTAAAAACCCCCCTGTTCCGTCTCCTGCTCTGGGCCGAGATCGCGGTGCCTCATTGCGCTTACCCCGCAATCCCGGCTGCACATCAGCCCTATAGGGCCCCATCTGTGGTGGTCTATTGGCTGTTTGAGGCGCGCGCCGTACGCTCGGGTTCCAATAGTAAGTTTGAAATCATTATTTCGCATGGAGCAAGCTTGATGATTAAAGCTCAAACCGTCTCCGTGTGAAAGGAGGTCTTGGCTCAGCAGTGGGCATTTAGGGGCTGATGAATGCGACTTAGATGGAGTAGGAGCAAGCTACTTTACAGCTCAGCTCAAAAATGAGAATGAATCATCTTGTTTTTGTATTATAATAACAATCGTGAGACATACTAAATAACTAAAAATCGCGGGTTACTCACGTGTAAATTGAGAAAAGCTCTACTAGTTTCGAACCACAGAGGGGTTCTTCCTCATGAGCAGCGTGCGCGGACGCGGCGACGTCGCGCAGCCTACTTAGCGTTGGCACCTGCATCGCTGTTGATGGTTGCGCTGCGGCGAGTCCTGCGCCATCTGCCGGATACCAGGCGCGGTTGCTTCCAAATTTGGCAGGACCCCTCTGTGGTTCGAAACTAGTTTAGCTTTTCTCAATAGATACACGTGATTAGCTCGCGATTTTTAGTAAATTTAAAAATATTCTTAATCGTCCCGTCACATGATATTTTCAAATCAATGTGTCGTTAAAATATTTCATTATTATTTTATTACCTATTAAACTTTCTCTTCTTTCTCGTCTTTTTCCTTATCTATACTTATATTATAAAGAGGTAAAATTTGTAAGTTTGTATGCAGGGGGTAATCTTTGGAACCGCTGGTCGGATTTCTTAAATTCTTTCACTGACAGATAGCTACAATGTTCCCAAGTTCTCTAGGCTTTAAACTATCACGCGATGATTACAATGTGGGTACCTGAATCCTATCTAGACTAATATTATAAAGAGGTAAAATTGGTAAGTTTGTAAGCTTATATGTAGGAGGCATTCTTTGGAACCGCTGGTCGGATTCCCAAAATTCTTTCACTGATAGATAGCTATCCTGACTCCTATAAGTAATGAAACACCAGGCTACGATCTGTAGGTGCTCCAGGTGCGGATGAAACCGCGCGTGTATAGTTAGTATCTGTATAGGTATTATAATATAAAAATCAATGCCACTTTTCGTTGTAATATTATAACTCAACAATGCCTTTACCAATTTGACTACTTTTCTTCTTGAATTATTCGTGGAAGCCCAGAGAAGATTTGTACGTAGAGAAAATTAAAAAAGATCCTGAAAAAGTGTAAAATTGCCATTCACGCGGGCGGAGCCGCGGGCGACTGCTCTAGTTAGAGTATATATTTATAACCCGAGATATCAATAATTCCACCTTCTCTTCCAGGAACTTCAGCACCAGAGGAGACCAACGACGAAGAGTTGGCGTCATTGAAGAATATCCTGCGGTTTCCTGAGGAGGTGGCCCTCAGGCTGACAGACACGGAGTATCAGCTTTTCTATCAGGTAAATAAATATATAAGATTCTACTAATATTAGTAAGTTAGTAATATTAGTAAGTGTGGGAGAGCCATGCTTCGGCACGAATGGGTCGGCTCGACCGGAGTGATACCACGGCCTCACAGAAAACCGCCGTGAAATAACCACAGCGTTGTGTTTCGCCGTGCGAGTGAGGTTACCGGAGGCCCAATCCTTCCCCTTCCCCAATCCCTCTCCAGTTCCTAAATCTCCAAATCCCTAGTCCCTAAAAGGTCGGCAACACACTCGTAACTCCTCCGTTGCGAGTGTCCATGGGCGGCGCTGATTGCTTACCATCAGGTAATCCGTCTGCTCGTTTGCCGACCTATTGAATAAATTAAATGAAAAATATTATAATACCGCATGATAGAATGATAAAAAGCTTATGCCCTATTTCGAAGTGTATTCTATGCCTGTGCCAAATTTCTTCCAGATCCTTCCAGCCGTTTTGGCGTTATTGAGTAACAAACATCCAAACATCGTAATTTTCGCAATAATTATAATGTTAGTAAGAAGTAATATGTGAAAGTTTGTGAGAATGTATGGATGTATGATTGTCATTCTATTATGCAAAAACGCCTGGACCGATTATGTTGAAATTTGGTATGTAGCTTGTCTAGATAGATACGTTCATAGGCTGCTTTTTGGTAACATACCACGCGGGTTAAGCCGCGGGCGGAAGCGAGTTAGCCCATATTTTGTGCTGAAGCATGGCTCTCACATACTTAAAAATAATACTTACAATAAAACTTACTTTGAATTAGGAATTATTGAGATAGGAGTGTCTAAGTGGCCCGGAGGTTAAGGCGCCCGTTTCTCATGCATGAGGGTGCAGGTTCGAAACCTGGCAAGTACCAATGTGACTTTTTCCGAGTTATATGTAATTTCTATGATTATTTAAGGGTGAAGTAAACATCGTAAGGAAACCTAAACTTATAATTTCTAATTATAATTTTGAAATCGCCAACTTGCATTGAGCAAGCGTGGTGATTAATGCTCAAGCCTTCTCCGTTTGAGAAGGGGCCTTTGCTCAGCTGTGGGCACTTATAGGCTGATGATGACGATGATGATGAGATAACAGCGTTTAAAATTCTTCTTTATTTGAAAAAAAAGGAACACGTTGCCCCATACTAGGGTTGTCTCAGAAAAATATGATTACGTATTCAACATCCAAACTAATATTTTAAATGCGAAAGTAACTCCGTCTGCCTGTCTGTCTTTTCCTCACGCCTAAACTACTGAACTGATTCCTGTGATATTTGGTACAGACATAGTTTGGACAGGACATGGGATAGCAGAATATACTTCCTGCTATCTTTTGTCCTTTCTCGAGTCACTTTTCCACGCAAACAGAGTCGCGGGCAAAAACTAGTTTTTTTAATAAATCTTCTAGAAGGACATTAACTAAAATATTCCGCTACCTAAAAGACTAAAATAAGACATCTCTACCGACCCCACTTGGGTCTGAACGGCTTAATATACACTCATTTCAATCCTAAAACACAGTAAAGAGGATTACAAAGCTAAGAATAATGCGACCCACTTCGATTGGACGGATTTAAATTATATAGGTCTGGGACATAAAATATCGATATTCACTGATAATTTTTCATACAACATAATATTCATATATTGCGCCACCGGTACATGGTGGATGTCCCACATATACGTACAAAACGTTTTGGGAGCACATTTATTATGCGTACAGCCAAGGAGTGGAATTCCTTGCCGGAGTCGGTGTTTCCTGATAGTTGCAATCTGGGTATCTTTAAGTCAAGAGTGAATAGGTTACTTCTAGGTAAGCGCGCCGCTCCATCGTCGCTTTCCATCAGGTGAGATAGCGGTCAAGCGCGAACCTATAATCAATAAATATATATATATATATATATATATATATATATATGTATATATATATGCCGTTTACTACTACTACTACTAAACTAGCTTTTGCCCGCGACTCTGTTCTAGAATAGTGACTTCCTGCAGATTTTTGATATAGAAACTATCCTTTCTCGAGTTCCAAACTATGTGTTTCCCAAATTTCACAGAAATTGGTTCAGTAGTTTAAGCGTGAAGAAAGACAGGCAGACTGAGTTACTTTCGCAACTAATATTATAATTAAGTGCATAAGGTTTGAAAGGAAATATAAAATGGTTATTTGTTCTTTTTCAATATATTGACGTGCCAGAAGTTTCTTTCGGTTTTATCCAACCCGCATCCTTTCGCCATCGTCCTACGCGAAAACGTTTTCATCCCCATCACATAGATAGTTGGCAGTCAACAACTGTCCGATTTACGCGAAACTTTCTGCATCGCACAGCAAAACTTTGGAACGATCTTTCGATGGCGGTATTTCTGAACCGATGCGACCTTCAAAAGTTCAAGAAACGAGCTTATGCCTTCTTAAAAGGTGAGCAAGGCGCTTGTGTCTCATCTGGTGGTCCAAGGTCCATGGGCGGCGCAGATCAAATACCATCAGGTGAATATACGTGTGCTCGTGACTTGCTTGTTCTAACTAAAAACCACCCTGATTCTTCTGCTTTGAACATTATTAATATAATAGCAACCCTCGCTGTCATCCCATGATAAAACCCCTCTTTGAGGATTGGCTAGAGAGACGCCATAGAGTCCTCACCTTCCGCCTGACGCAGGTTCTTACTGGGCACGGCAGCTTCGGCAGGTTCCCATTTCGGATCTGGTGGGAGGAATCGTCTGAGTGTCGTCATTGTGAGGACTACCTGAAGGACATGCGCTGCTTGGGCTGAGCACCGCCGTATCCACAGGGATATGATCAGTGGCTAAGACTTCTCGCGTCCGGCCTTAGTCGAGGCCATGGCGTGAAGCGAGAGGATCTGAGAAGCCGTCTCACCTTTCTGCGCAGCAGTCATGCTCTCAAAGAAGGAGGCGGAGCGTGGGAGGGAACAAATCTCCTCTCGCCCCAAACCTACAGAAAATTTGTATGTAATGTTTAAAATATTGATCTATTTGACGGATTATAAAAGAAATGTCATCATCCCTGTTATTAATAGCTTTTGCATTTACGATACGATAACAATCGATATACAAGTATTTCTTCACTCGTCCATCCCTATCGAACTGAATAAGACATTCTATTCATTCAAAAATAGGTCGTATAAGCTATCTTTTTGCTCTATTTGTTTTCTGAATAACTTGATACAACGTTTTAGGTTTATTTTCCTTTGGCAAACGAGTGAACGCGTTTTAAAAGCCTATCTAGGGTTTTTAGGTTTTACTTTAATCACCTGGGTACTATAACTTAATCACTTTTAGGTAGAAACCTATTATAAATCTGATGTAAAAGAGGAATCTATTCTTCAAACTAGCGATCCGCCTTTGCTTCGCGCGGCTCCAATGGTGATACTTAATTTCTCCACTGATTAATGGATGTTATCAAAACTAATATTATAAGTGGCCGGAGATCGTTTCTCGATCCACAACGCGCGGAGTTACTTTGGCAGCTGGAGCGTGAGGAGGAAGATAGCTCCCTAACGTGGTCCACCGCCTTCTTTAAGATTAGCAATGTAGGTGAAGTTGTTAGAGACCCTAATCTTCCAACCCCCCATTTCTAAAACCCCAAAATGCCGCAAAACTGGTGTTTTAGATGTCCATAAGCAGCACCAATTGCTTATCACCAGATGATCCGTCTGCTCGTCTCACAGAATACCGTTTCACCAGAGTAAGGTTACTGGAGAGGCCCAATCCTGCCCACCCCCCTCCCCTTCTCACCATCCAAAATCCTCAAATCCCCTACCCTTAAATCCCTAAAAACACTCAAGGTACCGACAACGCTCTTGTAGTAACTCCTTTGGTATTGCGAGTGTAATTGAGTCGCGCCAATTAATTCATCATCATCATCATCATCATCAGCCTATAAGGGCCCACTGCTGAGCAAAGGCCTCTTCTTAACCGGAGAAGGCTTGACCATTAATCATCACGCTTGCTCAATGCGGGTTGGCGATTTCAAACTTATAATTACAATTTATAAGTCCAGGTTTCCTCACGATGTTTACCTTCACCGTATGTCAGTGGTGTCTAAATAATCATAGAAAGTACATATAACTCGAAAAAAGTCACATTGGTACTTGCCAGGTTTCGAACACACACCCTCATGCATGAGAAGTGGGCTCCTTAACCTCCGGGCCACCACGACCTCTTTACTTATTAATTACTTACCATCAGGTAATCTGTCTGCTCGCTTCCCAACCTACACCATAAAGAAACGAATCTCATAAAAAACGTTACCTATTTAAAAAAACTCAGTTGTAAAACAATAACATTTGTAAAACAATGGACGTTGAGTATAATTTTAGACGCGATCGATATCTCGCGATGTCAAAAGCAGCTAGCTTGGCACAAACAGAAAGAAATCCATCCAAGCTTTGGCACGAATGGGTGGGCTCGACCGGAGTGATACCACGGCTTCACAGAATACCGGTATTCTGTGAGGCCGTGGTATCACTCCGGTCGAGCCGACCCATTCGTGCCGAACCTTGGCTCTTCCACACTCATTGCTCAAATGTTGTTAAATGCTGTTAAATGTTAAGTGGTGTTAAAAGCTCAAATAAGAAAAGGCCTTAGTTGACTAATGGGCTGAAGATGTGATTTGATGAGTTTAGGATAGCCATTTTGTAAGGGGTTTAAATCGTCAAGATTCTATTCCACTTTACGTGGGAAGAGAAGGAGTTTCAGACTCTTACTGACAGAACCAACTCGTTATTTCTCCTGCTCCAAGCTGGAGTTGCAGTATATGATTGGACTTGGCCCTGCAACCCTGGATATACTATAAAAAGGGAATTTCCGTTCAAGGAAAAAATTTCGAACAAGAATTTGCATTCTTCACATAATCAGCCTATAAGTGCCCACTGCTGAGCAAAGGCCTCTTCTCACACGGATAAGGGTAGAGCATTAATCACCAAGCTCGTTCAATGCGGATTGGCGATTTCAAACTTATAATTATAAGTCCAGGTTTCCTCACGATGTTTACCTTCACACACACATACACAGAAACGCTGTTTAAGAGCAATGTGTAATGCCGGTCCCTTTGATTCTTGCAAACCCCTATTTCAGAAAACTAAAATACTTACCATTTTTTCCTTATACATCATTGAAGTTGGTCTCTTCGTAAGAAATCACCCACAATTATTCGAAAAAGTTTCAGAAAACAGTGCATTCAGCAAAAGAGATCCTAGTAAGATTGTTGTACCAAAATGCAGAACCACTCTGTATCATAGAAATTGTATGTTTATGTGTATAAAAATCTATAATAAAATACCCCAAACTATCAGAGAACTTCCATTAAGATTATTTAAAGTAAAAATAAAGGAATGGCTTACACAAAAATGTTATTATGCAATTAAGGATTTTTTAGAAAATAAGTAATGTGTAACTTTTATATATTTTTTGTTGTTAACTTGTAATTTTGTTTTAATTAATAATGTACTAGCCCAAATGGGCCTTGATTATTGTATGCCCAAACGGGCTGATTGTTGTACTGTATACCACTATAAATATGTATAACACCTGTAACCAACACAATCAACACAATAAAGACTACTTTACTTTACTTTACTTCACCGTATGTCAGTGGTGTCTAAATAATCAAAGAAAGTACATAAAACTCGGAAAAAATTACATTGGTACTTGCCATTCGAATCCGCACCTACATGCATGAGAAGCGGGCGCCTGAACGTCTAGACCAATATATTTGCATTCTTAAAACTAGAAAATTTTGTAATCAAAAATTACAAAAAATAAAAATAGGAAAAGCTACCGACGTTCCGACAAGCTAGCGTTGCTCTGTCAGAGATTATTGAGTCAATTTGCGACGACAATTTTGTACGCCGCGACGCGGGTCCGACGCCGACGCCTGAGAAAATCGGCGTCGAGTTATTCACGACCTATTTGAACGAATAAGGAAAATTTTTCAAGATTCCATTGACTGCTGTCGGATTTAAAATACTTTCACAAACATGCCATTTTTGTCCGTTTCTGTATATAGACATTTTGAAGAGCATAATTACCTATAACTTTTTATTGAAGGAGGAACATCGTTTAATGACTCCTAGAAACCTACCCCCTTATTACAAAACAAGGTTTATCTTTAGTCCAGGTTTAAACCATTGAGTCGGGTTTTGAATTTTGAATCTTATTGTCATCTACCTTCAATTCGAAATACGAAAACTGGCTCAATGGCTTAGTCCTAGACTAAAGTTTTATAATAAGGCCGCTAGAGTTTTAAAAAATACATTACACACACAGCAAAACTTTGCCATGGTCTTTTGACGGCGGTATTACCGAATTGATATGACCTTCAGGCCTTCAAGAGACATGTGTACTCCTTCTGAAAAGGCGCTTCTTATGACTTATCTGATGTTGTAAGTGTCCATGGAAACCGATAGTTTACTACTAGGCGAGATGTCTGCTCGTTTGCCAAGATTTCCTTGTCCAAAATATACGAGAAGACAGCCATAAGCTCATACCGTTTTTAAGATATTTTCTTTCCTCTGCGACCGAACTAAGGTAATCCCATTTCCTACGTTCGATTAAGGGTCGCCGATTCCCAATCGATTGGATCGTTTAACCATTAAATAAGCTTACAACTCGTTCACATTGAGGGGGAAAATATATGTTACAAGTTTTTTTAGAAGTATTTTTCAAACATACTTTTTTATGGCATAAGGGCATAAGTCGACAACCGAGCAGATGGATTACCTGATGGAAAGCAATCGGCGCCGCCCATGGACAACCCCAACACCAAGGGAGTTACGAGTGCGATATTTAAAGATTGGGAAGGGATAGGGGAGGGGTGGGGATTGGGCCTCCGGTAACCTCACTCACACGGCGAAACACAACGCTGTTTTCTGTAAGTCCGTGGTATCACTCCGGTCGGGCCGACCCATTCGTGCCGAAGCTTGGCTCGCCCATAATTAAAACGACTACTTTTGCGATACTTTACACAAGGTTTTCTCCTTCTTTTTTATGAGGATTAAGGCGAGAGGGAGTGTCAGACTCTTACTGACTAAAAACCTCCAGTAACTTCTCCTGTTCTAGGTCGAGACTGCAGTGCCTTATTGTGCTGCCCTGCAACCTTTTTTTTTGATAGGGGAAAATCGCGAATGAATTTACCTACCGTAGGGTAAGGCGAAGAGTAGGAGGCGCCGCCGGTTACTTACCATCAGGTATTCTATCTGAAAGGTTGCCGGTGTATAAAATAAAAAATACAAATAACAAAATAGAAAAAAGGACAAATAAATAACTATGTAGTAAGATAATGCGTTTGAATCAATCTATCTATCTATAATAAAATTTACATTATTAAATTTTCTCGTTGAAGTACCTCGAGAAACATGAGCGAGAGATAATTGAATATAAAAAGGTAAAGGCACTATGTAAGGGTAAAATATAATGGAATACAAAGAGAATTCAAATGTGGGAGAGCCATGCTTCAGCACGAATGGGTCGGCTTGACCGGAGTTATACAACGGCTTCGTGAAAAACCGGTGTGAAACAATCGCAGCGTTGTGTTTTTGATTTCGCAGGCGTCCTTTTATTTAAATCGTTGCTTCACATTCGTATTTTCTCCTGTGTCGTGGGTGCCTTTACAAATATACAATTTCACATACATATCACACCCAGACCCGAAACAACAATTTTTGGATCACACAAAGAGTTGTTCCGTGCAGGAATTGAACCCGCAACACGTTGCGTGGCTGCCATTTGATCTTCTACCGTACCAACCGTAGAGTATTTTGCTTAGGTTCATTCAATTACATGGTCCATAGATTCGTCGTGCAACTTATCCTCAAAAAGAACTGATAGCAAGCTGCAGCCTATTTCAGAAGATATTCCTGTCTTAATACCTACTATAATCGGATCTTCTTGTCACCAGGTGCCTCCAATCGACTACCTTCGCCAAGTGACCCTGGATCTTGGTGGAGAAGGTGTACTTGGCGCCGTGAATGAACGTCATATGATCAGACGGACACCACCATCACATAGTGCATCCAAGAGTTCTGTCAGAGCCCTCATCAGGAGATTTAACGCGGTAAGTTAATATACATATTGTGACGGAAAAGAGTCATCATGACGTCTATGAATGGTTGTCAAACGTTGCCTTGACAAAAAGTTCGAGTTCCGCCGTAAGCATGGAGTTTTTAGTTGATGGAAATTTTGTGTAGAACTTTCTGGAAGCTTTTGTGTGAAAGAAATGAAAAATTAAAGAGCAGTTGAGTTCTAAGTCCAAAGCGATTCGGAAGAAAAGGAAGAAGTGAAACAGAAGAAAAGTGAGTGACATAATGAAGTGCTGTGAAATAGTGAAGTGCAGTGAAATAGTGAAGTGCAGTTAAGTCAGCGTGAACAGTGAGCAGCAAACGGAAGTTTGTGTCAGTCCGGACTCTGCTAGAGAGGAACTCGGTGGACGCTGTCACTTAAGTTAAATAGAAAGTCTGAAAACCGGTATTAGTGTTTAATTTCAACCAATCCCGTAACCTAAGCCCGCATAGTCAGGAACGTGACGTCAGGCTCGTAACAATATGATACATATAAAAGTACAGACCCAAGCTTAAGGTGGCCGGAGATTATCACCCAGAGTAACCTACTGCGGCGGCTGGGGCGTGAGGAGGAGGATAGCTCCCTCACTCCCTCCCACCTCCTTCTTTGCGAGAATAACTGCTTCACAGAAAGAGGAGACGGCTTCTCAGTTCCTCTCCCTCCGCATCATGGGCGCGAGAGACTTCGCTGAGGACACGACGGTGCTCAGCCCAAGCAAGACACACCGCCACCGTATGCTCCACCGTGTTTTCTGAGTGGTTTTAGAAGTAGTTTTTTCTTGAATTTACAGTTTGTTGCCTTCACTCCAGTTTTTGCGAAAATCAGTCAATAAAACGGCCTACTATATATATAATGAACATCTTAATACTTACTAGTCTTACGGCTGATTTTTCAATAGTCAGATAAATGTTATCTGAGGAATAAAATTGTTGCTGTCACTGTCTTATACAAACTTCTGATGCGACAGCATCATAACTATTCCGCAAATAACTTTTACCTAACCATTGAAAAATCAGCCCTTACTAATATTATAAGTGTGAATGTTACGATGTTTGTTATTCAATCACGCCAAAACGGTTGGACGGATCTGGATGAAATTTTGGCACAGGCATATGTTACACTCCGGAATAGGACATAGTCTACTTTTTATCAACATACCACGCGGGCGAAGCCGCTGGTGGAAGCTAGTATATAAATAAATACATGCATACATACAGTTTACATAACGTATAGTGTACTAAGTCACTTAAAGTCTAACTTGGGACAAGCGGCCGTGCCTAAGGACGCGGCAAACTTAGTTAAGTCTGTATAATATTTAAATAAACTTTGGGTATAGAGAAATATTTAGATATTATAATTTGACTATTGTTTTAAATGGTAGATATACGTAAAATGTTTGCATATTATATCATACCGCGGTCTCATAGAAAACCAGCGTGCAATAGCATTGTTTCGGCGTGTGAGTGAGACTACGGTAGGCCCAGTAGTGAGATTCTGTAAGACTTCATTCTAAACTTCGAATCTGAATCCGCTGTGAGTAGTAGTACACTAGCGCTACACTTGCGAGTTGAACTAAATTGACAGCAACATTTTGATAGATAAAGTATGAGATGACGTTAAAAGTGACATTCTAAAATTTAATTTCCCCGTCACTTCGACGCTCACTTCGGACTCGAACAAGATTCAAAATCAAACAAATTTTATAGAATCGACGTGCAGTACTTCTCCTCATCTATTTCACCCCAATCTATATGTCCTAGGATAGTTTTTGTACCAAAAATCTGCAGGAAGTCAAAAGTGGGCTAAATAAAAAGGTACCTAGGATTTGTTCTAAGTGGACAAAGGGAAGTGAATCGAGTTACTGCTGCTATTATCATTGCCAACGGCGACAGCCGCGAGACCACGTGATTATTAGAAGACATAAAATTGCTTAAGTGATGTGGTAAGAAAGTATCGATATGTTATATCGACTGATTTATGTACAGCATTTCAAGATTTGAGTAAAAAAAAATATGACTTATAAACTAATTTAAAAATTGTGTTGAAAAAGTCTATAGTTTGATGTCTTTATAACCTCTAGCTTTAAGCCCACGACTTTGTTCGCGTGGAATACTATATTGGTCAAAAGTTGTTGTAATGGAGCACCTACTTAAATAGGTTCCTTGAATATAAAATCTGTGTATCAATCACACTTATTTGACTAACTCTTTTACCATTTATCTGTATTCTGGTTCATTTGAAGTCCAAAAGAAATATTTGTTTTTAAAAAAAAAACGTTGCCCCTCTTTAGGTTTTTCTCCTGTGTTTTGGGTGCGTTTACAAACATACAATGTCACATACACATGACACCCAGACCCGAAACAACAATTTGTGGATCACACAAAGAGTTGTTCCGTGCGGGAAACGAGCCCGCGACACGTTGCGCGGCAGTCACACATGCTGAGCTGGACTCCCATTCGGTTGAAACTAAAGACTCACTGAACTTATATACTTATATGTTATTATGTTATACTTATTTTTATATTTTGTTTTTTGTTTGATTTATTTTGTGTCATTTTCTTGTTAATTTGTATTGTGTACCCACTTGTTCGTCAATTAATTTGTGTCTGTTATTGTTTGTGCTGAATAAATGTGTTATCTATCTATCATTTACATCAGGTAGATTAGTGGCTAAAATCAGTCTGACACCAAACCCTACATCTTCATATATTTCATATCATTATCATTTCATTTCACCAAAAATGACAACACTCACAAAATGGCCGCATAATTTTCATAGAAAAATAAATCGATTAAAAAAATTCAATAATTAATTAAATATACTATTGCAGTCGATGCTTGCAGATCAAATGTAATCTTATCCACTTTTTTCGTATTTCCAGCCGCATTTTTACTCGTAGTAATAACACAAGACGGCATAATGAAATTAAAATTGATACTCGTAAATACGTCACGACATGCCACGTGCCAAAATTGACTAATCGTAGAAATTTCATACTACTATAGTAAAGAGTGGTTTTAGTTGCTTCTGTTTTAAGCGCGATAACGCCTTCTGGTTTGTTCTGTATTCTGAGACTGAAGCTTCAAAAATTTGCCTTCTTCAGACCACTATCTCTATTTGTCTTCCATTTTTCCTGTTTTCCAATCGTTTTATAAATGTGACTCCATTATTTTACCATCAACCAGCCATCTTCGTTTCTGGAGACATTACATTCAGATTTATATTGAGCCAAAAAAATTAGTTTACAGTGCACGTTTTGTATCGACGACGAACGGCGGATTCTTTCCATCATTGTTGCACACATTCTTTAGCTTATAATATTTTATTGAAGGAGTACATAGGATCGTGTGTTGATTCCATACCTATTTTTTGAAGAGAACATCATCAAATGATTTAAATATCGGACAGCCAAAGTTGGACCAGCCGGGATTGCGGGGTAAGCGCAATGAGGCACCGCGACCTCGGCACAGAGCAGGAGAAGGAACAGGGGGGTTTTTAGTCAGTAAGAGTCTGACACTCCCTCCTGCCCGGCCCTGGGCGGGAGAAAGAAGTCATTTGATGACTTTCCCCTCACAAAAAAAAAAAGGTTGGCCACGAATGGGTCGGCTCGACCAGGATGATACTAGGGCCTTATAGAAAACCGGCGTGAAACAACCATAGCGTTGTTTTTCGCCGTGTGACTTAAATATCCGAAATCCTTAATCCTAAACGGCCAGCAACGCAGTCGTCACTCCTGTGACTACCCCATTTCTTCTTCTGTTTTAGGCCGACGACGCCACGGTGGCATATTGCGCTAGCCCCTCAACCTCAGCTGAATGTCAGCTTTTTAGAACTGTCTTATTAATCCCGACCTCCTCCGTACATCCTTTTTGCTTTATCATCGTTAACATATTTTCTCCTGTCACGTGGTTCCGTTTTTGCTTCTTATCAAGACCTAAACGGATTCAGCTTGACCTTTTTAAAGTATAAACAACTATCCGACCGGAGCGATACCTCGCCTCTTCTACACTAAAACCTCTTTCTTAAGGACTCACAAAACGCTAACTTCCATTATTTATATGAAAAAAACAACATCAAAAACCGATTAGCTAAAGAAAACCTCGACTGGCAATCAAGACCAATTAAAACATTGAAATAAACAGAAAAAATCCCGAAGAAACGTAATTGATATAATGAAAAAGAGAAAGCAAAAAAAAATCAACAAACGTCGCCCGCCCAACGGCAACGCGAAACCAATAATAAACAGAATAAAAAAAAAGTTTCGCAAACAAATCACGGATCAATTTCTTTCTAAAGTTATTATTAAAACAATGGATTATTTTTATCGCTGCTTTTATTAAATCTTGAAACAAATGGGCAAACCGTTCTTTGTCATAAATGGACCAACTTTACTGAGTGATTCGGCCTCAGAGAAAACTGACGTGGTACGTTTACTTTATGGGTGAGGTGTCCGGACGATGTCATTAACATCATCAGCCTGATACTGTCCACTGCTGGACAAAGGCTTCCCCAATAGCACGCCATTAAGCTCGATATAAAGCTGTTCTCGTCCAAACACTGCCAGCCACCCCGCGGATATTGTACGATTGTTTGGACGTGGGCCCCACTCTAGGACCCATATGGTGTACCCCAACGGTCATCGGTTCTTTGACAAATATGACTTGGCTACTACCACTTCAGTTTGCTAATTTTTTGACCTATGACAACAACTTCAGTTCTCTATCGGATCCCCTCGTTTCGAATATCCTTCAGAGAGACTCCAAGCATAGCCCTTTCCATAGCTCGCTGCAGGGATTAAATTGGCGGATCAGTCGCACTGTAAGTGTCGGACGCTCTCATTGAAGACGTTTGTCTTCAGACTTTACAGTATCTTTGACGAGAATACTCGACCGAGTTTCCTATATGGTGCCTAGCCAAGCTGTACCCTTCTACCGGACGCTGTACCTAACTATTAACAAATTCACTTGTTACTCGTCTGGTGTTGCAAGGGTGTC